CTTCGATATAACGACATCCTCTCTAGAACGACCTTCGATATAACGACATCCTCTCTATAACGACCTTCGATATAACGACATCCTCTCTATAACGACCTTCGATATAACGACATCCTCTGTATAGCGAAATGGTGCCCAGGTCCCGATTTATTCCTTGTATATCATTAGTAACTTTTGGCTGCCTGTCTATAACGGCAACTCTCTATAAAGACATTTTTCTCTGGTCCCGAAGACGTCGTTATAGAGAGGCTGCACTGAACCACACAATACTCAGTATGATATTATTGTTACCATTATCTACACAAACAGTCTGTTCTAGTCCACTGCTTGTCAGCCTGTGATAGGTAGCGCCTACTTTTGCCACACTTGAGAGGCTACAGTTTTCCTACTGCCCACCTTCATGAATCTTATTACACAGAGGAAAGACTAAGGGAAGCTGGTGTCTCTAGAGGGTCGGGGAGAGACAGCAACCTGCGTGGAAAAGCCAGAAGAATATCCAACCAGCTGATAACTGGCACAATCAGCAGGCAGACCCTTTCACAGATCCTGGAGAGGTTGAAGGAGCAGCTATGGCATTGTGCCGCCTGCAATGACGCCTATTCTCAAGCCAAGTAAGTAAGTATGAATCTTATTGTTACCAAGCGGGGTAATTTAACTATCTCCTGTCACTGCCTAGAGGGTCCCCACTCCCCATCAACAGTTACTAAATCACTACCTTGTGGGCAATACTAGTTGGCGACAAAGATCGAACATAACAAGATTGTTCACTCAGCCAAAAAAGTGTACGTTGAAGTCCACGCATTGGTTCAGATGGCGCTGCAGTCTTTGTTTTGAAGCTCTCTTTCGTTTCTCCAGAAAAAGAATAAGAATAGCACAGTTTGTTAGTTTCGCTTTTTATTGTTTTTCACACAAGGAGGGTAACTCTGTTCACAAAGTCCGCGCATTTTCGAAGAGGGCGTCACCGAATTTTGAGGACACTTCTTTAGTTGGCTCAAAGAGAGGAGTGAACTATCTTGTTATACATGATCCTTGTGGGCAATACTTATGGTGGATACTAGTAGGCGATACTAGTGGGCGATTCCAGTGGGCGATTCCAGTGGGCGATACTAGTGGGCGATACTAGTGGGCGATATTCCCCAGGCTGACAAGCACTGGTCTAGGTGAATAGACCTTGACCTTTGTGGTAAAAATACAGACACACGTACATTACTCACAGTTTACATGCATATATAACATTATTATGAATTCTGAACATTTATTGTTCCCCATTTATTATTCCTGGGCTGTTGTTGTTGTTGTTGTTGTAGTTGTTGTTGTTTGTTTGTGTGTGTGTGTGTGTGTGTGTGTGTGTGTGTGTGTGTGTGCGTGTGTGCGTGTGTGTGTGTGTTGTGTTTTGTCCATCCATCAGCTAGGTACACATGTACTCACTACAGACAACACGCGGCATGGGGCAAGGTGAGATGACAGATGACGTGTGCTGGCTTCCGACACGACACAGAACGAGTTGGGAGGAGAGGAGCAGATGCAATAACACGTTCTAACTAACGGTCGCGGGCTGTCTGAAACCGGCGTAACATCGTCGGTGTAGCAAGACGTTCATTTAAGTCTGTTCAGGTACTTTTTACATCAGAGACAAAAAAAAACAACAACAACAACAACAAAATAACTACGGTATAACACGGATAGGTCGAACTCAGAACACTCCAAACCACGCATCCGCCGTACTGTGCCTGTGGTCCGGTTTTTTTTTCTTCTTCTTTATCTTTGTAAGATATCCCTTCCCTCAAACTACGGATCTCTCAAACTACGGATCTCTCGAACTACCCCGGCCGGCCCTGACGAATTCGAGCTATCCGTGTTCTACAGTAGTTTTTGCTGTGTTGTTCCTATCAGGAATCATGAGAAGCAAAAAAAATAATTAAAGATTAAGCCCTGACCATAGCAATAAACTGCATTTTGATGATGTTGAACGGTGTATCTTTGACACAGCTTTGGGAGCGTGAAAAAAATCAAACTTGTTTCAAAATTTGGACTTAAGTGGATAGCTGGCGACAGTGCCGAAATGCTTGGAATAGAACCTCCCAGACCGTGCACTGTTCTGGCCGCCCCTGTTTGCTGTGATTGTGAACGTCTTCCTGTGACACGTGCACACCATGGGTGCTCTCACTGAGGACAAAGTACATCTAGCAGTCTTGTTACAGTAGAGAGAATGTGGAACTTTGGTCCCCTCACTGCTGCCGTTCAGTTGGCTCCAAGTTGTGTCAAGCGGTGCGCACCGCAGTGAACGACAGTTGCGTCACAGTGAACGGTCTAGGGTGTTCTACTACAAGTCTATGGAAATCAGTGGTCAGCAAAATTCATTAGAAAAATTAACGACAAAACCCATAATATGACCATATAAAGTAAATACATACACATCATGAAACTCCTAGCGGCAAGTTGAAATAGGGAAAAAAACCTCATAAAATGTACTTAGATTTTCGAGAAATCGTCAGCCCCTCCCCCACTCCCCCCTCCCCCCTCCCCACTCCCCCCTCCCCCCTCTTTTTTAAAGCCACATGCCATAAATAACAATATCACAAATAAAGTACAAAGAGTACTGAAAAAAGGAAGAAAAGAAGAGAATTAGATCTAGATTTAAGCCCCCATCATAAGCAAACAAACAAACAAACAAACAAACAAACAAACACAATACTAATAAACAAAAACAAACAACCCAACAATCAAACAAACCGTAAACACCTCCCCCCCCAAAAAAAAAATAAAAAAATATATATATTAAAAAACCCCATAATGAACAGAAGTGTTATCGAGAACTATTGTTATTGCATGTGCCCTGTCCCCCGGTCATTGCAGGAACGTGGCTAAACACAGATCAGTGTGAATAGCACGGTGTGTGGGCTAGACACAGACCGGTGTGAATAGCGCGGTGTGAGGGCTAAACACAGACCGGTGTGAATAGCGCGGTGTGAGGGCTAGACACAGACCGGTGTGAATAGCGCGGTGTGAGGGCTACGGTAGTGTTGGGACGAACCACTAACAAATGAACAACAAAGTCTCTCCTTTCTTCTCTGCAAAAATCAACAACAAGAGGTGTCCACTCGCGGCCTGTCGGGGAAGAAATAAGTCGCCTTTGATCCCACAATGTCACTGCATAATCATAACATAGATCACCAGCATTATAAGATCTCTACGTCCACAATGTTACTTCATAAGAATAACAATCATCAGTATAATGTATCATAAAAATATGTCCACAATGTTACTTCAAAGTTATATAGAGCAGACAATCAGTATATTATATATATTATGTACGTCGACGGTGTCAGGGGCAGATGGGTCAAATACAGATATTTCTTTTGAACATTAAAAACCCAAACATCTTGGTTTCCTTTCTTATTAATCTGACATATGCTGTGAGGTGTACAGATATCCAGCTGAAGTAGATCTCAACATTTCGTGATCTTCAAACTCACGTACAAAACCGCGAGACTTAGCTGGTTAAAAAACAACAACAACAACAAAGCAAAAAACAAAACAAAACACAACAAACAACAACCCAGCAACAACACCTTTATATTATTGTATTTACGCACGAGATGACTCACTATTTCCCTTTTTTAGTTTTTAAACAACCTTTTTCAAAAGGTAGTACATACTGAACACTGCATGTATATTACACGCAGTTTCGAAAAAGGTTATGGTGACTTTGTATTTTCTTTTAAATAAGCTTTTCGAAAGGTGCTATAATAGAGTACATTACGCATAGTTTTCTTCTTCTACTGGACAATGAGCGTGCATGGACGTGACCCATCAGCGCCAGACACCTTCGACGTGTAGATAAACGGTCTTGAAATAATGTAATGTGTTTATTGGAAAGGCGACAAAGAGGTCCTGATTCCAACTAATAATTTTCTGCAGCCTACATTTCTGCTCTGTATTTAATTTAAAGGCTCCATTTTCACAGAGGTACCAACACGTATGCCCCTTGCCCCACAAACTAAAAGAAAAAAAAGTAATGAAAAATACAAGCAGGGTCGTGCTGTACTTTCGAAGATGTGTCAAGTGTCTACGCACTACTATCACGACTTCCAAACACACACTTTGTTTATGAACGAGCTAATTTCATATCGACTTAATCCCCATGTGCTGTTACAGACTTGTTTATCAAAGTAAATGTATATGCGTGCTTTTCAGTGATTGTTGCATCACTTATTTCTCAGTAATCTAGGCCTATTGCCTCACTGTTGAGACCTCTCTCGCCTTGACATTAACAGGGACAGATCTAGACTCTAGATTGTCTCACAGTTGAGACCTCTCTCGCCTTGACATTAACAGGGACAGATCTAGACTCTAGATTGTTTCATGCTGCAGTTTGACTTTTGACTGACATTCATCTCGTCTTTACAGAGAAATATATTGATATACTCATTTGGGTTGTAATCAGATCAGACACCGAAAAGGTCGTTTCGAAGACAAAAATTCATCTGATTACCCCCCCCCCCCCAAAACAAAAAAACCCACAAAAAAAAAACCAAACCCCAAAACAAACAAACAAAAAACAAACAAACAAAAAATCCCTAACACTGCGAGATCAAAGGCGGTTCATTTCTCGATCTGGGTCTCCACGGAACAGTTGCGGAGAGCCCGGGTTCCAAGCTGGCCGCCCGTGGGTCTAGTCTTTCAACAAGTGCCACTGCGCCACCTGCTGCCTTGGCTTGGCCACCATGTCGTTCCAGTGGCGCGTCTCCATTGGTCCGCTCCGACAACCCAGGATGACACGACCAATCAGCTCGTTCCTCCCCAGTTTGTCAAAGTCCATCACGCTCACCTCCAAGGTGGCTTCTCGAACCTTCTCCCAGGGAATGTCAAAGATGAACGACTCGTTGTAGATGGGGTTCAGGGTTCGCATCTTGATGTTGGTCTTCTTTTTCTCCACTCTCGCGGCTCCGTACGACAGCCAGATCTTCACGTACGGATCTGTGGGGACAGAGAGTGGGGGTCAGATACAGTCTGTGACGACAGAGGGTGGCAGTTAGATATAACATATCTTTACGTACGGATCTGTGGGGGTAGAATAGGAGAGTCAGATATAGAGGGTGAGAGTTAGATATAACAGAGGTGGTCTGTGGGGATAGAGGGTGGGAGTTAGATATAACAGAGGTGGTCTGTGGGGATAGAGGGTGGGAGTTAGATATAACAGAGGTGGTCTGTGGGGATAGAGGGTGGGAGTTAGATATAACAGAGGTGGTCTGTGGGGATAGAGGGTGGGAGTTAGATATAACAGAGGTGGTCTGTGGGGACAGAGGGTGAGAGTTAGATATAACAGAGGTGGTCTGTGGGGATAGAGGGTGAGAGTGAGATACAGTCTGTGACGACAGTGGGTGGGGTTGAGATATACTAGAAGCCATCTGAGAGGACAAAGGGGAGAGTTAGTTAAAACAGAAATTATCTAAAGTCTATGGCGGCAGAGAGTGGGGGTGAGACATAACAGATCTTTACATAGGGATCTGAGGGGATAGACGGGGAGAGTTAGATATAACAGGGGTTATCTGTGGGGACAGAGGGAGGGGGGGGGGTGTAAGATATTATAACAGATCTTCACGTAGGAATCAAAACTGTTTGTGAGGACAGAATGGGAGAGTTCGATAAATAACAGAAGCTATATGTGAAGATGGAAGGTGGGAGTTACAACAGAAGTTATCAATCGGGATCTATGGGGACCGAGAGTGAGAGTGAGATATAACATATCTTTATGTACGGATCTGTGGGGACAGAGGCTGGGAGTTAGATACAATAGAAGCTATTTTTGTTTTGTTTGTTTGAGTACAGAGAAGCAAAAACATGGACAGAATAAAAGTTATTTAGTGCTGGGGAAAAGTAGACAGACAGAGACAGACAGAGACAGACAGAGACAGACAGAGACAGACAGAGACAGACAGAAACAACACAGGGAAAGCAAAGAAGTAGGACCTACCAGTGGCACCCTCCAACCACCCACACAGACAGAAACAACACAGGGAAAGCAAAGAAGTAGGACCTACCAGTGGCACCCTCCAACCACCCACACAGACAGAAATAACACAGGGAAAGCAAAGAAGTAGGACCTACCAGTGGCACCCTCCAACCATCCACAACAAAAGTTATCATAACAGTTTTGTTTGTGAACGAAAGCGTTTCTTATGCTGGGAAAGGGGAAATGGAATTGGCGGGGAGAACATTTTAAAAGAGAGAGGAAATATAAAACAAACAAACAAACAAACAAACAAACAAACAAACAAACGAACAAACGAACAATAGAACGAACTAATGAACCAACCACAATATATTAGGCCTAATAAAAATCAAATGGCGCTTGGTCGTGTATGAATATAGTTGCATAAATTATATATTTTTCTGCCGGAGACAGGATAGGTGATGTACAACAAAATAAGATTACGAAGGGATGATTGAGATTTTGATTAAAAAAAAAAGACAGAGGTACATGGCCTCAAAAGAACAGACAACAATTTGGCTTCAAAAGATTTGATTATTCAATCAGACAACTTTAAGCATGGAATATTCAAGCCAGAAACTGGATTAACAAATGAAAAAATATGTATGCGGAATGAATTTCAGACGCCAAAAAACACACACACATACCAGCACACACACACACACACACACACACACACACACACACACACACACACACACACACACACACACATACACACACACACACACATACACACAGACACATACATACACACACATCCAGACACACACACATACACACACATCCAGACACACACACACAGAGGCACACACAGGGACGTAGACAGACGCACACTCACGCACAAACACTCTCTCTCACACGATAGGCAGTGACACACACACAGGGAAGCGGGGACACACACACTCACACACATACACACACGCACACTACTAAAAATAATAAAGCAATATTTTTGAAAGCTACTAAAAAAGCAACCTTTTGATAGAATCCTGAAAGAAGCTGCTTGTGCTGTATGGAACATAATCACGAGACCCACTTATGACGCGTGGAGGCAGGAGCACTAGGGTATGAAAGGAAAGGAATGTGCGCGCTAGTGTTTG